TACGTGATGAATATGATATGTACATGTTGAAAGGAAAATGATAAATGCTGTTTCCATGATATACTTATGTTAGGTGGAAATGAAATGTTTAGGGTATGAACAGCTCAATGCACTCTTGTATGATATTTTGATATGTTAGTATCGATGTCTTGCTTCAGATGATCACAATATCACCAACATAAACCATAAGCAGAACTTGTGAGTCCTCAAAAATTTTTATAAACAATGAAGAGTCTGTTTTGGAAGCAGCAAAGGCTAATTGAGTTACTAAGAATGTTTTAGAGTATCAAACCATACCCTGGTTGCTTGTCCAAGTCCATAAAGAGTTTTCATTAAACAACACACCAACTCCTCACCATGCTCTCCTTATTGTTCAAAACTAGAAGGTTGGCTCATATATATCACTTCAAACAGCTTTACATTTAGGAAAGCGTTATTTATGTCAAATTTGACGAAGAACACATTTCATCTCAATAGTAGCCAAGACAACTCTGATAGTGCTGGCTCAAACAACTGGACCGGATGTCTCAAAAATATCTCTCCCCACTGTTTTTGAGTAGCATTTAGCTACTAAACGAGCTTTGAACATTTCAATTGTCCCATCAACCCTCTTTTTCACTTTAAAGAGCCGCTTGCAACCCACTGCTCTCCTGGTTGGTGGCAATGGTTGTAGCACCTAGGTCTGATTTTGCATAAGAGCAAGATACTCTTTCTAAACAGTACCTCTCCAGGCTGGATGTTGAAGAGCCTCATACACATCAACTGGATATCAGCTTTCTAACTCAGCAATAAGCGCTTTAGGCTTAAAAATTCCAACCTTTCCTCGAGTTATCATTAAATGAATATTGTGAACAATACGTTAAGTAATCGAAGTGGTGGTGGATAGATGGCATAATTGTGATGGTGAAGATGGAGGAATAGATGATGCTGGATGAGATGAATATTGTGGAAGAAATGATTCTTATCATGTAAAGTGTGATGATGTACATGGATCTTGTGATAAGGATGGGTAGGATGGAGACAAAGATGGAAGCAATGCATATGGAGATTGAGATGGACGCGATGTATAATGTGGAGAAAAATATGGAAGAGATGTATGATGTTGATATAGAGATGGAAGATATTAATCATGAATGGGAACAACATCAGAACCTACCAAAGAAGAATGAGGAAGACTTGACTGTAAGGGTGTTTGAGAAATTGTTAGTGACACCAGTGAAACATGAGAGTCAAATGATATATACATAGGTAATTGAGAGGTGACCGCCAACTAAAATATTTTTAGACTCCGGTTACAAAAAAGGTTTCAAATTGATTTTGCACAAAAGGAATCGAATTAAGTGACTCTTTTACGAGATTATTGATTGTTAGAGGTAGAAAGAAAACTATGATTAACCTGATAAGGAAAATAACTCTCCTCAAACCTAACATTTCTAGATATATATATATATATATACGACCACTAGGATCTATACACTTGTACCCTTTATAAGAAGGAGAATAATCGAGAAAAACACACCTTGATGATCTAAATTGCAGTTTATGTTTGTTGCAAGGTCTTAACAAAGGGTTGAAGGCACAACCAAATATCCTTAAAACACTATAATAAAAGAACTTACCATACATTGTTTCATAAGGCGGCATAACTTAAAGGGCTCTTATGGTCTGTCTGTTGATGAGAGATACAGCACTAGAAAAGGTGTCATTCCAAAAAGACAGTTACATCAAGGTTTGAGTGTAACACCCATGGCCTGTATACGTCTCAAAATACGAGTTAAAGATGTCGTATCAACCTTACAAACATTCGCTAAACATAAATGCTTAAAATTTTGTTTCATTTCAAAAAGGTTCCTTTTCAACTTTAAAATTATTTTCTGAATCAATAAAGTCATAAAATTAATTTTTAAACCTTGAAAACAAATTCATTATCAGGTAGCGATTAGGCAGTTTAGTGATGTTTCATAAACTATATAGTACTACCTAAACACTATTTAATTTTAAAATCATTTAAAATATAATAGCATAAATAAGTTATTCACTCGTAATTATGAATATAGCTAGTCTAGTCAAAATAAATGGTCCTAGTTTATTATTACAAACCATTTAGAATAGAGTTGATAAAGCAAACTGATAACATAAATATACATGCCACTACTAGTCAAAATAACATAGAAGATGTCTTAGTGATACAGGTAATAGGTGTGATTCCCAAAAAGATGCTCGGGGGCTCCTCACTACACGTCCTTAGCTCTATCCGAACCTATGTATGAAAATCATCACACGCTAAGTATAACTTAGTGAGGCAGTAGTAAGCTAAGGTAAAGTAAAATATCAAAAATACTTGAAACATTGAAAAATAAATTAAATAAAAAATTAAACATTCAAACCGACTTATTCAAGTTAGTACTTCATTGTAACCTGAAAATCAACTTATTTCATATTCTTATTAAAATCATGATAATTAAAATCAAATAGCATAAACGTATCATGTTTCCTACCAACTTAACTTGTTCATAAATTTCATATTTCATTTTCATAGCCAACATATTTAAGAGAATATAAGGTACGTGAGTAGAACATAAGGTGTGCACTAGGCACATCACTGTTCCAATCATAACTGATCATAAAATGCACTCCAAGTGAAATCATAATTAATCATAAAATACACTCCAAGTGCAATCATAACATCAGCACCAACGGTGTAGTACATAATGTACATTAGTGTACCATAAATTGAATTTAATCATTTTAATGGCATGTTAAATGTACCTATGACTCTCAATGCAACTTACAGTGGGCTTTCATACCATATCATATTCATTTTATAATTAACATTTTCAAATCAGGATCATTTCAACTTATCCTCATAAAAATCATAGTTTGGGCAGTTCATATAAAAAGAATTTCGTAAAACCTTTATATAAATATTATGGAAACATTCCACAATTAACATAAAATCATACTTTAAAAATAATATGAGGTTGACTTATCGCAAGTCTTCCTCGATCAAAATAATTAAATAAATAAAATGCACTTACATTTGCCTCACTACCGAACTTTAATAAAACTCTTTACTCTTGTGCATTGTTCTTTCTTTTCGGATCGCTCGATTTGTTATGTTTATCGTGATCTAACAACGTCATATAATAACATAAAATATTCCACTATATGTTAGTATCGTACTAACATAATCTAAACCTAAAATATAAAATAAAAATCTATAAAATAAAATCGATACTTAATCAATATAAAACTAAATCATACTTCCATTATAATTTCAAACTTTTCAAACACACTTTAATTCCAATAAATATTTATTTCTATCATTAACCCCTCAATTTTTGTCAATTACCAAATCAAGCCACTAATTATGAATTCTTTCTATAATTCACCTTAACTTTTCCATTAAATTCATAATGATCCTTCACCATTATGATCATTGCACTTTAATTACTACAATTTCCAGCATCTTAATAAAATTCTCAAATTAATACTTAAACATTAAAAACTTGCAATTTCATCCCAAAGTTTCTTAGACTTTTCAAATTCAACCATCAATCTTTATAAACTTGTAACTTGATCCTAACTCAACATTTAAACTCAAAAATCAGCATATAAATAAAACTTCCATCAATGCAATATTTTACCCAAATGATACTTTGATAATTAAAAACTAGAAATCAAGTCCTTATATTTCTTGGGCCTTTCAATTTCCACCCTTAAACTTTGCCAAATTTACAGTTTGGTTCCAACCATCTTTCTAACTAAAAATTCCAACATTTCAATATTAAGATTTAACATTGAACATCCTAATTCTCACATTTAATCAATAATGTCCCAAAATTCTCAAAACTTGCAAACTAGACCTTTTGCTATCTCAAGGTTCCAAATTGATCCAAATTTATCTCCAAATCACATAAAATACTTCTAATATCAATTCTAGACCATATAAAATTTTTCAATATTCCCCGACCCAATTTTCCTTGTGGTCGAACCTAATTAATGCATTAAGGCAAGGATTTCATTCATTTCCAAGCATGAATTCAAACTCCTATTATCAAATTTATGCAATTCCAATCATCATAATATCAGATTGAATCAAAATCAACCAATCTTCCAAAACCCTAGCCATGGTTGAATCTACTACAAGGCTTTGCACTTGATTTTAATCATCACACAAGCCTTAGAATTAATCTCCAATATCAAAAACATAATAATCTTTCATTAATTATTCAAAATCCATAAACCCTAATTCTCGATCTCATAAAATAGGCATGTTCACCATGTAATACTTATACCAAATGATAGAGAATTTAATGTAGATCAATTCTCTATTTCGTAACTTAGTCCAAAAATCAATCATGTAAGCTTAAAAATCAAAAAATAAAATATTTACCTTATAGCAATGGTGGTTTCGGCCTTAAGCTTGAAGATGGTTGAAAATATGTTTAATTTCTTGATTATTCTAGTATTTGTCATCCTTAACACATGGCTTATTAATAATATAATTTAATTTAAAATTCAATTAATGAGAAATTTCAAAATTGCCATTAATAAAACTTGAAAATTACCAAATGCCATTACATTATCTTCCATTAAAATATTTCCTATTCAAAGATGAATCAACTCGTCTTTAAATTTTCCATTGTTTAACCAAATCTGAAAAATAAAATGATCTATGCTACATTTCCCTCATCTAAAATATGAAAATAATATTTCCAACACTTATCTAACATCCTTTAAATTTTCGTAAAATTTTGATTCGATCTTATTTTCGATTTCTATATCTAACTTTATTATTTTATAGCTTTTAACACAAATCACAAACCAAAAATCTGATTACCACGAAAATTCTTGTTTTAGGCCAAACTATTCATTTTCAAGCTAAAATATATAATTTTTTAAAATTACATTTTTGGTCCCTAAACTTTTACAAAGTTCATACTTTAGCCATCAAACTTTCAAAACTTATATTTTAGTCACTAACCAAAATTTGGGGTATTACATTGAGCAAGCATGGACAGCCCAAATTTTACAATTTAACGATGTTTCCTATTCACTAAGCCATTTTGCTCTGATGTGTGTAGGCATGGCAGAAAATATGTTATCCCTTGCTCTTTTAAAAATGTCTGAAGAGCACTAAACTCAACGCCTCCATCCATTTGAAGCACCTTAAGCCTGACATCAAACAAACGTTCAACCTGTCTATGAAATTGAGAAAACACAACTTTAACCTTGTATATTTGTTTAAGAAATTATATCCAGGTGTATCTACTATATACATCACTAAATGCTACATAATACCTGGATCCATTAGAAAAGACAGACATCAGGCCCCAAAGATCTGTTATAATTAGCTCTAAAGGATATGAATAGATTGTATGGGAATAAAAAAACAGCAGTTTAGAGGATTTCCCTAGCTGGCAAGCCTTACACAAATTTTGCTCTTTATTAATGTACAAAGTTATTATATTACAACGTTTTAATATAGTGTGTAAAACCTCTTTAAAAGGATGACCAAGTTTCAATGGAGGACCCTAAGAGCACTAACAAAATTGTAATTCACATTAAATCCATCTACAAAAGTACTTTTATTATTCCTGACAGTATTACTTGAAGGCAAAGCTAGCTTATAGAGACCCTTAATTTCGTTTCCCTTTAACAGCACTCTATGAGTACGAAGATCACAAACTTGATAGAAGTTCAGATAAAACTCAAGTAGAACTTGATTGTCCTGTGTAAATTTCGACACAGACAATAAGTTCTTAGTTATTCCAGGAACAAACAAAAGCTTCTTTAGATACAACTTATTGTGATCAGATCATATCACATTGATGCTTGACCAGTTTATTTTATTGAAAGAGTGTCACAATTACCTACTTTAACATTACCTGAACCAGTTTGAGCACTGCCCACTTGAAGATTGTTGAAGTCCTTGGTGAGATGGTGGGTGGCACCTGAGTCAGGATACCAGACGTTGTGATCTACTATTTCTGGAGTGGCTATGAGGGTCTGAGAGGTTATCTGAGGCTACAATATAGGCGTTGTCTGTTGAGAATACAATGATTGTGGTGCAGCATGAACAACATGATAAGGTAAAGCCTATGTCCCAATCTGAGGAATACCAGCAATACATGAGGTGTTATTAAAAGCACTCAAAGGAAGTAGTTGTGAATGTCCCTTTTGAAACATGGTAGAATAATTTGTAGGTGTAGTCAGGACAAGTGATGAGGTAAAATGCCTAGGTTTAAAATGAGTTTGAGCATCATTATAACCAACATAAGAGCATGTATTAGCAGATGTAGATGAATCACCACCTCTATAACTACCCTTTATTATTATTCTGAACAGTTCTAGAAGATTCATTCTTAAAATTAGCATCAAATCGATAGTAACACCTTTCCTCAAGATGTCCCATTCTTCCACGTAATTGACACCGAGGTCTAGAAGAAGAATACCTTCCTTGACCTCTACCCTGCTGCTACTATCATTTCTTGATTAATTATTCTTAGTTGTGTGACCAATGAACTCCTGACCAACACTATTGCATTTAGTTGGTGTAGCATTAGAAGGAATAGACTTAGTTTGAGTAGTCATATGAGCACAGACATTAACATGATTAAGGAAGTGTGATTGTCTAGTGTCAGCATCCAGAAGAATAATTTTAACAGATCTCAAATCATGAGGTGAAGGACTAGCAGTTATGAAAGTAATTACAGACTTGTACTAAGGAGGTAGGCCATTCAAAATAGCTGTTATCTGCTCATGTTAAGATATTAATTCACCACAACTAGCAAGTTTATCACAGATGGACTTAACACTCATAAGAAAATATTTCATAATAAGATATCCCTTTCACAAATGGACCTATTAAGTGTGGAAGAACTTCCTCATTAGCAGTAGACAGAAGCCATCAAGTCAGAACTCCATCCTGCTCATCATATAGCTCATACTCAGGATTCAAATTATTAACACCATTTGTATTAACATACAGTTCAGGGCAAGTCACATTACTATCAATAAATCTATGTAATTTATGAGTTTTAATGGTCAGAAACACTTGTTGACGGCACAAAAGATAGTTATTGTCATCTAAGGTGACATTTATCTTCTTAGTAGAGAAGATTTTGCTAACATGTTGTGAAGCAGTGTTACAAGAGTTATTGATCGTGACATTAGGAGAAGTCATATATGGTGAGCTAGCATCAGTATTCGTCATGACAGATTACCACAAAAACAGAACCTAAACAGATCCAAACACAAGTCTCCCAAACAGAATACATTGAAGCAACACTAGTCTCACAAAGGCATAAGCACCCAAACATATCCAAACAACAAGAAAAAGAGGAGAACAAAACAGATTGATCACAGCAAAAAACATAGAAACTTAACAGATCTGAAGAAATCAAGAACGATATCACCGAGGAAAATCGGAGAACAAAAATAAGGCAGGAAGCAAAGCTTAACACAGCAGCAACTAAGAGGAGATGAATGTGAAAACTCGAATAGTGTGGACCAAATGTAACAGCAATTGACGAGCAAGATACGATTGAGAAGTCACGAACGAAAAATGAAGGAGCATCGACACGAACGACGAGGCTGGGATGATAACAAACACAATTCACTGTAGCTCTGATACTAAATTTGAAATGCAACATCAATGAAAGAAGCAATCGGAGAAGATATTAGCGATGAAGTAGAGAGGATAAATGAAGCGAATAGAAAAGGGGTTTAGGGATTTTGACAAAAGTCAAAAACAGAAGAACAATTTTACATCAAAAGTTCTCAATTTTCATTAATGAGAAAGGCCCAATATTTATACAACAGCCCAAGGGGCTAAGCATACTTGCTTACCAAGATACCAACCCAACATAATAGCAAACAATGATAACAGAAAGTATTCACAATTCATTGTATCTCTGATACTAAATTAGAAATGCAACATCAATGAAAGAAGCAATCAGAGAAGATATTAGTGATGAAGAAGAGAGGATAAATGAAGGGAATAGAAAAGTGGTTTAGGGATTTTGACAAAAGTCAAAAACAGAATAACAATTTTACATCAAAAGTTCTCAATTTTCATTAATGAGAATGGCCCAATATTTATAAAACAACCCAAGGGGATAAGCAGACTTACCAAGATATCAACCCAACATAATAGCAAACAATGATAAAGTATTAATACTTCAATACTCAAAGTGCTGACTGTGTAAAGCTTCTGAAATATTTCAATTGAAAAGTCATTTTCAAAATTCCGATTTAATTAAATAAATTTTGAAAATGGCTTCTAAAATTCTCACTTCTGATTTAAATCGTACTTCATTTAATTTTTTTAGAAAACTATAAAAGATCGGAGTCTTATATATTATTTTAAAAATTATTTAAATTATTTTAAAAATTATTTAAATTATTTTAAAAATTATTTCAATTATTTAAAAAATTATTTAAATTATTTTAAATCATAATTTTTCCCTCCATTTAGGTTTAGATATGTTTTTAATGAGGCGCACATTCCGGATCATTTCTTAATATAATTTTATTTTCGTTGAACAAAAAAAGAGAAACTATTTTTTACGGGCTTATGATATTTTTAAACTCATAGAAATTAAAGTAGTGTTGCTCTCCCTTGAAGCCTCGAGTTTGAACAATTATGTTTGTAGCGTGCGTGCATTGACATTGTTAACAGTTTGTAAAGATCATTAGGGGTGTTCCAAAATACCCGACTCAGTTGATCTGGCTCGTTGACCTGAACCTAAAAAAATAGATAATTCTCTAAAAAAAAACTACCCGACATATATACATATATATATATATATATATATATATATATGTGTGTGTATTAAAACTATTGGGCCGGGTACCCTATTATAAAAAAAATTCAGCCTAGGCCCGAGCCAACTACCCAAAAAAAATTTTGGAACACCCCTTTGGGTGGATAGGTCAACGGGTCGAATCAACTGGGTCAGGTATTTTGGAACACCCCTAATGATCTTTACAAATTGTTAACAATGTCAATCACGCACGTAACAAATATAATTGTTCGGGACTTCAAGAAAGAGCATCACTCCTTTAATTTCTATGAGTTTAAAAATATCATAAGCCCATAAAAAATAGTGTCTCTTTTTTTGTTCAACAAAAATAAAATTATATTAAGAAATGACCCAGAATGTGTGCCTCATTAAAAACATCTCTAAACATAAATGGAGGAAAATAGTGTAACAAAACCGGAGAAGTTGATACCAAAAAGCAACTCGAAAGCAAAACAAATACACATGGAGTCAATTATTTTAGGTTGTTAATATTTTTACCTTAAAATTAAATTTATATCCCTAAATTTTTCTTAGATTTGTGTTATGTACTTTTAAGTTTTAAAATTTTCAAATAAGTTATTTTTATTAATTTGTCAATATGAGATTCGAAAAAAAATCACGATCGATATTGATATTTTTAATATTTTCTTTTGAAAATAAACTTGTCGTCAGTCGATTTTGTCCTAGTTTGATTTCAATATAATATTATAATTATGTTATTTTATATATTATATTATTATAATTACTTGTTACAATTTTACAGGCCAAAATGAAAAATAGATTTAGCCCGAAGGCTCAAACTACAAGTCATTAAAAAGTATGTTTTATACATTTTAGTTTTATCCTTTAATTTTATTTTAATCCTTGACTGTAAATGCATATATTTTAGGTAAAATTAAATATTTAGTCCTTTAAATTTTAATTATATATATTTAGTCCCGTATTAGTAAATTACGTAATTAGTACATAATTTTGATATTATTTCAAATTAAATTGATTAATTCTACCATTATATATTTTAATCATTATTTATTATATATATGATATTAATATATTAAGTTAATTTTACAATATGTTATTATAACATAATATTATATGACTACTAAATATCATTTAGTATTTATCTGTATTAAATTATTTGTAAATTTAAATTATTTAAGCAAATCTATAATTTATCGCAAAGACATTAATTAATAAATATCGGTATCAATTTTAGGTGTTATGGGGTGTTAATCCTACCCCATATGTAACCGACTCCCGAACTCATTTTTCTGGAAAGCAGACCCGAGGTGTATTATTTTAATATTATTCTTAGTAATTTTATTAGAATAATATGACATTTTGGTGACCAATCTCACCAAATTAAAAGATTTGTGGCAACTCTATAATTTGGTGCTTCATCTGATTCAAGGAAGATAAACACTTACTTTTTCGAGACTAGTTACATACTTTAAGGTCTACTATTTGCACTCTCCGTCCCCGATAAAGAAACGTCTCGACAGCTTGGCAACTCCACTGGGATTGCAAAAGAGAATCTAGCCACCAATTTATTAATTAGTTATCTTTTGCAGTAAATAATTAATTTGTTTTAATTTTTTTATTATTTTACTAACTTTTTGTTTTTATGTTTACAAATTTAGTTTTGGGTGATTAGAATAGAATAATAGGATGTATATTATTTTATCCTTTTTTTTTTATATTTTTCCTCACCCACTGTGCACTGCATTCATGACATGAGCTAAAACCCCGCTCTTATCCAGTTTAAGTGAATGAGAAACTACTCCTTTGTGTGGTTTTCACCTCCGTATGGGATAAGGGGCCATTCTTTGAGCTCACACCTTATGTTCCTCATGTGGTTTTCACCTCCGTGTGGACATAAGGAAGTGTGTTCCTTCGAATTGAACTTAATCCGAAAGTCTGTAATGGACTAGGATTAAGGGCTTGGCAGTCCAGGAGACACCAATAAAGGACAATCCGTTGACCCTTTTTACCCTAGAACCAAAACCCAACATATAGTAAAACCTAGAACTTGAATTTAAGTAGAATCTCACCTGACTAGGTCTTTTAAGATGAGCGCACAAGGGAAATCATGTTGAGTCTTTTATTTTATTTAGCATTATTTTATTTTTTATAAATGCATGCAAACTAGAAATCAAGTGATTAGGTTTGTTGTTATGAATAAAGCATGAAATTAGATAGCATGAAATTAGATTTTTTTTATTTAATTTTATGCTTCATTTATGCATTCTGCATTTTTATATTATGGTGTTGATTCATGACTGATTTCATATAGAAAGATGGAAATATGGAACAAAGAGTCCAATATGAAGTAGAAGACAATACAATTGTTTTAAGATGGTCTGAGCAGTCTCAACTTAACAAAGGAAATAGTTTATCACCTGTATACGTGTCAGATTTGGTCAGATATACACATATTAATATTCGCTAAAATAACCTGGGTGAGTTGAACGAAATCTAGGAAAAAGTGAAGCAGTAGACAAACGGCTATTTTATCAACTATATGGTGACATTGCTTATCTTTTGGACATTCCTATTGACCGATACCTATTCAGAACTCTATCGCAGTTTTGGAACCCTGCCTACAGTTGCTTCACCTTTGGCAAAGTAGATTTGACACCTACTATAGAGGAATATCAAGCTCTTATTCACTGTCCAAGAATCTATGAAGATAGGTTATATATCAAGTCACCAAATAATGCTCCTTTTAAGAAGAAAGTGATTTTATTGTCCGGGATGAGTGAAGAGTGGGATTCAAGAAATATCGAGAGGAAATGTGATAGTGAATGTATTACTTGGACTGCCTTGAGAGAAGAAATCTACCGCCATCCAGACAAAAGAAAGTAGATTGATATGTTGGCTTTAGGAATTTATGGATTAATCATTTTTCCGAAGATTCTGGGGCATATGGATATATCAGTTGTAGACCTGTTTGAAAGATTGAACAATAATACAGATCTGGTTCCTGCTATATTAGCTGAAACATTTCGTTCCTTAAATTCCTACAGACGTGAATGAGAGGGACGTTTTATAGGCTGTGCACCCCTATTATTGGTATGGATTCTAAACCACTTTAAACATGAAGAAAGAGCTCATGGGCGAGTATTTTTGGAAGATTTCTCACCGCTACAAGATTTCCTTTCTCGCAAATAGACTGGAAGTTATGATGAAGAAAAATGGATGAACATCTTTCGAAATCTCGAAGATGATGATGTATTATGGCAAGCCTCATGAAATACTTCTTCAAGCATAATGTATAAGTGTGGAAAGCACGATTGGGTTCCCTTGCCTGGCATATAGGGTTCTGTAGGATATACACCTTTGATGGTTTCCAAAAAATATGGATCAAGACAGTTTATTCATGCGACATCAACTTTATCCGAATCAGAGTTTGCATTCAGAAGTGACCAGTACAAGGAAAAGATTAGAAAAGTTGTTGAGGCTTGGAAATGGATTCATCGAGTAAATTTATTTACTGTCAGTCAAAAGCTCTCACCCGAATACGAGCAATGGAGAATTAATCAAGTCAATGACAACATTCTAGTGGTTAATTTTGAGAATGTTCAACCCACCAAAGAACATTTGAGAATTATATCATCTCCATTAGAGCTTGCAAAGCAAGACTTCGAGAGCGAAAGAAAGCAATGGACCAAATAAATGCCCCAGCCATTGGTATTTTCACTGAGGATCCTTTGTATCCTTGAGGCTTTACACCAAGAGCAGATCTTCTAAAAGCTAAAGTAATTGAGGAGCCTTTATACCCTCTAAATCATGCAACATCCCATGTTAAAGCCCAGTTAGGAGCATTTACTCAACCAGTAAGGGAAAACATAAATTTACCTAGTGCTTCTATAAACCAACAACAAGTTGAGAATGTTCCAGATTTTGACCAAGAAGAAAAGAAAGAATCAAAAAAACAATTGGATCAGCTAATGGAAGA